CCCTTGATCTCCTTCAACTGTCTTATTGCTCTAGCAAGGACTTCCAGCACTATGTTGAAGAGATATGGAGAGAGTGAGCAGCCCTGTCTTGTCCTTGGTATCAGTGGGATTGCTTTAAGTTTCTCTCTGTTTAGTTTGATGTTGGCTATAGGCTTGCTGTACATTGCCTTTACTATGTTTAGATATGTGCCTTGTATCTCTGATCTCTCCAATACTTTAAACATGAATGGATGTTGCATTTTGTCAAATGCTTTTTTCAGCATCTAAGGAGATTATCATGTGATTTGTTTTTTTTTTTTCAATTTGTTAATATGGTAGATCTCATTGATGGATTTCCGTATATTGAACCACCCCTGCATACCTGGGATGAAGCCTACTTGCTCATAGTGGAGTGATATCTTTGATGTGTTCTTGTATTCGGTTTGCAAGTATTTTGTTGAGTATTTTTGCATCAATGTTCATAAGGGAGATTGGCCTGCAATTTTCTTTCTTTGTTGGGTCTTTGTGAGGTTTAGGTACCAAGGTGACTGTGGCTTCATAGAATGAGTTTGGTAATGTTCCTTCTGTTTCTATTTTATGGAATAGTTTGAAGAGAATTGGAGTTAGCCCCTCTTTGAAGATCTGCTAGAATTCTGCGCTGAAACTATCTGGCCCTGGGCTTTTTTTGGATGGGAAACTTTCAATAACCGCTTCTATTTCCTTGGGGGATTTAGGGCTATTTAATTGATTCACCTGATCCTGATTCAGCTTAGGTAAATCGAATCGATCAAAAAAATTGTCCATTTCATTTAGATTTTCAAATTTTGTGGCATATAGACTTTTGAAATAAGTCCTAATGATTGTTTGGATTTCTTCAGTGTCTGTCATTATGTCCCCCTTTTCATTTCTGATTTTGTTTATTTAGATGGTGTCTCTGCCTTTTAGTTAGCTTGGCTAAGATTTTGTCTATCTTGTTGATTTTCTCAAAGAACCAGCTCTTGGTTTCATTGATTCTTTGAATTGTTTTATTTGTTTCTAATTGATTGATTTCAGCCCTGAGTTTGATTATTTCCAGCTATCTACTCCTTTTTGGTGTGTCTGCTTCTTCTTTTTCTAGGGTTGTTAAGTTGTTTGAATGAGCTGTCTCAAATTTCTTCTTGAAGGCACTTAGTGCTATGAACTTTCCTCTTAGCACTGCTTTCATTGTGTCCCACCAGTTTGGGTATGTTGTGTCTTCATTTTCATTGAGTTCTAGGAAGACTTTAATTTATTTATTTATTTCTTTTCTGACCCAGCTGTCATTTAGTAGTAAGTTGTTCAGTTTCCATGTGTGTGTAGGCTTTTTGCTATTTCTGTTGTTGTTGAGGTCCAGCTTTATTCCATGGTGATCAGACAGGATACAAGGGATTATTTCAATCTTCTTGAGCCTCTGATGAGGCTCACTTTGTGACCATCTATGTGGTCTGTTTTGGAGAAGGTTCCATGAGGTGCTGAGAAGAAGGTAAATTCTTTTGTGTTTGGGTAAAGTTCTGTAAATGTCTGTGAGATTCATTTGATTCATGACTTCTGTTAGAGACATTGTTTCTTTGTTTAGTTTTTGTTTTGTTGACCTTTCCTTTGTTGAGAGTGGGGTGTTGAAGTCTCCCACTACTAATGTGTGGGGATCTATGTGTGGTTTAAGTTTTATCAATGTTTCTTTTACAAATGTAGGTGCCCTTGTATTTGGGGCATAGATGTTCAGGATTGTGATGTCTTCCTGGTGGAATTTTCCCTTGATGAGTATGAAGTGTCCTTTCCTATCTCTTTTGATTAATTTTGGTTGAAAGTCTATTTTATTGGATATTAGAATGGCTACTCCTGCTTGCTTCTTGGGTCCATTTGCTTAGAAAGCTGTCTTCCAACCCTTCATCCTCAGGTAATGTCTTATCTTTGTGACTTAGGTGTGTTTCTTGTATGCAGCAGATTGCTAGGCTTTGTTTACACATCTATTCTGTTAGTCTGTGTCTTTTTATTGGAGAATTGAGTCCATTGATATTGAGAGAGATTAATGACCAGTGGCTGTTAGATCCTTTGATTTTGATGTTGGCTGTGGTCATAAGTTTGTGTGCTTGGTTGCGTATTGTTTTACTGTAGTGAGGTTATTATTTCCTGTGTTTCCTTGAAAGTAGCTAGTTTTCTTGGGTTGTATTTTCCCTTTCTAGTGTCTTCTGTAACTTTGGATTTGTGTGTAGGTATTGTTGAAATTTGTTTTTGTCATTGAATGTCTTGTTTTCTCCATCTATGAGGATTGAGAGTTTTGCTGGGTATAGTAGCCTGGGCTGACATCTGTGTTCTCTTAGGGTCTGCATGATATCTGTCCAGGTCTTTCTGGCTTTCATAGTCTCTGTTGAAAAGTTAGGTGTGATTCTAATGGGTTTGCCATTATATGTTACTTGGCCTTTTTCCCTTGCAGCTTTTAGTATTTTTTCTTTGTTCTGTATACTTACTGTTTTGATTATTAAGTGGTGGGAGGATTTTCTTTTCTTGTCTAATTTATTGGGTGTTCTGTAGGCCTCTTGTATTCTTATTGGCCTCTCCTTTAAGTTGGGGAAATTTTCTTCAATGATTTTGTTGAAAATATTTTCTGGGCCTTGGAGGAGGGAATCTTCTTTTTCCTCTACACCTGTTATTCTTAGGTTTTGTCTTTTTATGTTGTCTTCGATTTCTTGGACGGTCTGTGTCAGGAATTTTTAGATTTAACATTTTCTTTGACAGATACATTTGTTTCTTCTATTGTATCTTCCACACCTGAGATTCTTTCTTCCATCTCTTGTAGTCTGTTGGTTATGGTTATCTCTGTAGTTCCTGTTTTCTTCCCTAAGTTCTTTCTCTCCACAATTTCCTCCATTTGTGTTTTGTTTAATTTTTCCAATTCTATCTTCAGGTCTTGAGCCATTTTGTTGATTTCCTTCACCTATCTGACTCTATTTTCCTGTGTTTCTTTCAATTCCTTCAGCTGTTTGTTAGAACAATCCTCTTTTTCTTTTATTTCTTTCAGTGATTTAAGTATTTCCTCTCTAAAGGCCACAAACTGTTTGGCTGCAACTTCCTGTATTTCTTCACTGATGGCCATAATTTGTTTTTCTTTATCTTCTTTTATTTCTTTACAGATGGCCATAATCTGTTTGAGTTTATCTTCCTCTAGGTCTTTACAAATTTTATTTGTTTCCTCTGTTATCCTCTTCATGAGCATAGATGTTAGGTCATCTTCTTGAATTTCATTTATGCTGGCGTGTCCAGGGCTACTTGCCCCTGGATAACTGGGTTCTGGAGATGCCATATTGCTCTGTCTTTTGTTGGTTGAGCTTTTACCCTAGCTTCTACCCATTGGGCTATTGTAGGTGTTTGGAGTTAGTTTCTGGTGGTTCCTGGAATCCTGTGGTAGAGAGAATCCCTTTGGCAGCAAGATGGTTTTTCCTGAAGGAAGCCTCCTCAGCTTTTTGGGTATAGTCACTGTGTGGCTGGTGTTTTTCAGGAGTTGCCACAGCTCACTTCAGGCATAGAGACCTGAGTGATTATTATTTTGAAATAAGTAGTGTTACTCCTGGGAAATTGTGTTTCTTAGGATTTTTTTCTTTGTATAAAACTATTTACTTGAAATTTTTGAGGTTTTTTTATCACTTTATATATGGTGATTAATTTGAAGAATTTGGTCTTAACATATCTGACTTTGACTAATTAACATCTCATTGAAAGCCTATACACACTCTTAAAAATTAAAATAAAAAGGTTTTATCTCTTCTAAGACAGTTCCTTTCTTTTGTTTTTTTTTGAGACAGGATTTCTCTGTGTAGCCTTGGCTGTTCTGGACTCGCTTTGTAGACCAGGTTGGCCTCGAACTCACAGAGATCCCCCGCCTCTGCCTCCCAGAGTACTGGGATTACAGGGGTGCGCCACTAGGTCTAGCTAAGAAGGTTTCTTAATACCTGCAAAATAGTTGGCCATAGTTGCATGCATATTTAATCCCAGTACTTAGAAGGCAGAGACAGGTGGATCTCTTGAGTTCCAAGGCAGCCAGAGATACATAGTGAGGCTTTGTCTCAAACATACACACACACCCCTATAAAAAATAATCTGACAAATATAAAATATTTATATATATATATTATATTATATATAATATATATATAATAGTGTGTGTATGTGTATGTATATATGTGTATATATATATATATATATATATATATATACACATACACACACACACACACTATTATCAAAAATAAAATACAAACAAATCATCGTGGGATTGCCAGGGGTGGGGGATGTGTGCATCCAGCTAGACAGACCCTCATGTCCTAATTACTGATCTAGTGTACTTTCCAGCGTTATCCATCCATTTTAATTCTCTCCATATGTGTTCTACCTGGCTGATGAAAACCAGCCAAAAGCCTTACTACACACCTTTCTTTCCCTCTTTCCCTCCACAGCTTCTCTACCCCACCCCTTTTTTAAAAATCTTTTTGTCATGTCCGTCTTTCCTCTTCCCTTTCCCACAATATCTTATATGTGATTCCCTCCATCTTAGTACATACCTCAGGAAAGAATGCTTTGAGCTTGGGATTTTTGTTTGAATTCTTTAGCTTGTGTATGTTATATATTTATAAGAAGCTTAGTGTTATAGACATCCTTACTGATATATCAGAAATACCTACCTCTTTTATCTCTTCCTGTGGATCCCTCTCCCATTTGTGAATACCTATTTCCATTATGAAGGATTTATTTTTAGAGGGAATTTTTATTACCTTAATAGAAAATTCTATCAAAAGTGTATATTCACATGAATTTTGTATTTGTATCCCCTGTACCTTGATTTGTAACCCTTGTACCTTGTACCCATGTTTTACAGCTGCTTAACACTGTATAATTTGTTCCAGGTAAATTTTACTTATTTATTTTATTTTTCAGAGTGCTGGGGCCTCCTCACTAATGGCATTACTGAGATACACCCCTTGCTCTAAATTATATTGTCTTGTTCACAGAAGGCCCAGCATTCACCCTGAAGTCGTCTTCGAAAGCTGTTTTAAGATCAAAAGAAATAATCCCAGTGGCAGAAAATGGAGATGAGGTACTAATCTGAAATGCTGTGTAAAGGATGTTCATTCCAGCAGAGTAGGATTTATTTGTTCTACTCTGGAAGCATCTGAGCCACGTTTCAGCTTAGGAAATACCTTAATGGCTTTTCATAAAGTGCTGTTGTTAATCCACTTATAATAAAAAGAATTCAGTTAACAATTTACAGAAACTACAGAAATTAAAACAAACACGGTTTTTCATTTATTTTAGGAGTAATAACCATTTTTGATGAGGTTATTGGAGAAATTAATATAGTGTTTGGAAACACAATGTTGAAATGAGATGGTTTGCTCTCTGGAAAGCCTGATACTTCATTATGGTTTAGTAATATTCCACAGTATGGAAATCATTCTTGCAACAGCTTGGAATGTGGCTCAGAGCTAGAGCTTTTACCTAGCAAGTGCAGCATGCTGGAACCAGTTCCTAGGATCCTTCAAAACAAAGCTCAGCCCTTAAATCACCTTCTGTTTTGAAAAGATTGGAGCTAGAGCCCAGGAGATGGCTCAGTCATTAAAGTTCACTGTAAAAAGGAAGGCCTGAGTTTGTTCCTGTAACTATTATAAACTAAATAAGCCAAGTTAGGTGGTACTCAGTTGTAATCCCAGTGCTGGGAAGGTAGAAACAAGTGGATCCCTGAAGTATGCTGTCCAGCCAGACGACCCTAACACAGTGAGTCCCATGTCCCACTGAGTGTTCCTGTCTTATCAAAGCAGTATGAACAGCTCCTGAGGAATATAGCATGTAAGGTTGTTCTCTGGCCTACCCATATGTGTGCATGTGCTGACAGATGTACCAGCCCACACACAAAACATGAATCTAACCTCATTTTCTTGAAATAACCTTTCATTGCTTTGATGAAAGATTGAAGAATGAGAAGTAGTTTTGTAGACCTAAACTTGACCACTTTTGTGTGTACTCACCAAATGATCTTGAGGAACTTTCTTGCAAATGTGTTTGTAGGATTTTGATTCATTTGAACACCTGCCACCTCTCCCAGAGCCGCCGCCACCTCTCCCTGAGATGGCAGACAAAATCCAAGATACACTTCCTCCCCAAAAGCCTGAGCTGAAAGTGAAGCGGTTGCTGAGACCCATAAGTATTGCTCTGACATGGAACATCCCCAAGGTCAACCCCAAGTGTGCTCCTGTGGAGAGCTACCATCTCTTCCTATGCTACGAGAACTCTAATCATTTGACTTGGAAGAAAATTGCAGAGATGAAAGCTTTACCACTCCCGATGGCCTGCACCATATCTCAGTTTTTAGCTTCCACCAAATACTATTTTGCTGTCCAGTCAAAAGACATTTTTGGGCGATATGGACCATTTTGTAATATAAAATCTATTTCTGGGTTTTCTGAAGATCTTACCTAGAAGTACTCAGTGATTATATGTTGTGCACATGTCATGTTTTCATATTTGAATGTTTTGTTTACAATGTTTCTCTAACAGTACATTGTAATATTTTATGTGCAGTTTGTGAACCCTTTGTACTGTAAAGTGTCTTGAAATTTTGTGTATTTCTAATTTGCATTCAATATGTATTTCTGTTATCTGTGACACATACTGTATCATGGACCCATGTTGCCACTGTGTGTTCCTTTGGTGACTGTGGAGTTGCTGCTGTGACAGAGGATCTCAGGTTCTTCACAGTCAGCTATAAGCAAAGCCAACCAGTTGCCAAAGGTGGATCAGCCCTGGAATGCATCTCTGCCATGATCTAGTACGCAGCAACTCCTTCCTGTTTTCACTCTAAAGTACACTATTGATTTGTGCCCTTTGTCTTCTTGTTTGGTTAGAAATCATTTGAGAGAAACAGCTTGGAGGTTTTGCCTAAACACTACAATTTATTAAATCAGGCATTGTGGGCCATGCCTCTAATCCCAGTACTTAGGAGGAAAAGGCAGATAGATCTCTGAGTTAAGACCAGCTTCGTCTACGTAGAAAGTTCTAGTCCAGCCAGAACTATGTAATAACTGGCTGTTTAAAAAAAAAAATTGTTAGACATTGTATGCTATGTACATGAAAATATATAGTGCTTCTTATTAAAAATATATGTATATCATTCAGCCTGCTTTTTCAACTATGAAGTTAATCTCTTAGAGTTGAAACTTTAACTTGCTGATTCCTAGTTTCTCTAAATGTCTCTCTTTGCCAATTTCCTGACTTTCCTCAGCACTCAGAGAACAGACACTAAAGGGCTCTAAAAAGAGCTCTATGCATACCTCTCCCCCAAGAAGCACTGAAGTGAGGTGCAAGCAGCCCAAGAGAGACTTGAGATGCCTACCTCACTACTAGAGAGACTAGGTAGCTAGTAATGGAGATTTTTTTTTTTTTATGGTTTTGTTTTGTTCTTCAAGACAGGGTTTCTCTGTAACCTTGGCTGTCCTGGACTTGCTTTGTAGACCAGGCTGGCCTTTGCCTACTCAAGTGCTGGGATTCTAGGCATGTGCCACCACATCTAGCTAAAAACAGCATGGTTTTAAAGTGGAACACTCTTCTACACAGTGGAAGTTCTGAGATATGATCAGGAAGTGGTTTCCCTTGGTGTTTGAGGTAACCACTACATCTTCACAAATAAAGCTGTTACTTTTTTGCGTTTTCCTGTCTTTATGAAACATGACTGAGCCAGGTGTGGTGGCATACACATGACTCCCAGCTCTTAGAAGACTAATACAGAAGGATTGTGAATTCAAGGGCAGCCAGAATCAGGTTGGGACTGGCATGGTGGTATGGATGTGCTTTTAATCCCAAAACTCAGGAGGCAGAGCCAGGTGGATCTTTGAGTTTGGAGCAAGCCTGTTCTACGTAGCAAGTTCCAGGATAGCCAAAGCCACAATTCGAGTCCCTGTCTCAAAAAACTAAGAGGGAGGAAATCAGATTTAGAAACTACTTCCAGATGTGGGGACCTGCCTGCTTTCAGACATTTTGTGGCAGATGGTATAGAATGGAATCACCCTGAGATTCATGCAACACTTGAGATAACAGTGTGCTCCAGACCAGTCAACAGGATATCTGGAAAGCTGACAGGATCTCAGGACACCCAGAGGAAGGAGCTAAAATAGAACTTTTTGTCTCTTAATGGAACCTGGAGTGGAATTCTCAACTTGATACTTCAGTGGCACTAGGATACAACCAGTTGAGGTACAGGAAAATTTCTGCCACCCAGCACAGAGAATAAGTACCCCATCAACGTTGGCTGTACTTGTTCAGAGGGAAGTGCTTTTGCATCCAATAAACAACAACCAAACTTGCAGCCACCGTTGATTATGTTGAGTGGTGGCTGCTGGTGGGACCGAATCGCAGACTGCTGGACAATAGGCAGCAGAGAGAGATGACATATTGCAACATTCTCTATGGCTTTAGGCTTGTGATAGCTTATAAAAATTGTCTAGACACACCTCTATATAGATGAGAAATTATTCTGTAATTCATAGAAGCCATGGTCACTGACCCCACAAAAGATTGAAGCCAGGACTCAAAGCCAACAGCTCGGTTTCTGGGTTCACAGTGTAGATCCTGTGCTGTGATGGTCTTTGCTACCTTAGGATCCCATGTTAAAGCTCAGTTACAGAAGCTGGAGTAACAATGCAAGTCTGGTATATTCTGGGGTCTCTATAACAGTGGTTCTCAACCTGTGGGCTGCATAAGATCTTTGGAAGGAAAAAAAAGACAAGTTGGCTCATGCTGTTGAACTCCAAGGAGTCTGAGAGACCTGTGGAAGCTCAGAAGGGTGATGCAGCAGCCTGCCATAGATCTGGAATAGCTAAGAAGACAAAAAAGGGACGGTGCCTTTAAAAAGTGGACTTGTGAAATTGAAAGATGGTGGGACAGAGCCACACACATCAGAGTGACAAATCTGTACCTTTCCTAGTGTCTCAGATTGGGGAGGTATGCAGCAGCTAGGAGCTCAAACTGAACCTGTCTCTGGATTGTAATATCACCCTGACTCTGGGCAACAATAGGATATCTGAGACAAGTCTTGGCAACAGTAAAGTATGGTATTTCAGAAGACCAATCACTTGTTGCAGTGAATATTTACATATAAAGCTGCTTGGGCAAAAAAATCACCGTGACACACTGAAGTTTCAAACAATCCCACTACAAAGAACAAATGGATGTGCAATAGAGAAGTGGGAGAGATGGAGGAACAGAGTAGTGAGTGCACAGTAGAGTAGGCTGCATTTGGGATAGGGTGACAACATAGTACATGTCCTTGCTGAGTAGGGCCACCAGAGTGGTGTGCAACAGCCTGGAGCTTTTGCCCCTGAACACACCACCCAGCCTTACGATCCTCCTAGTTCTGAGCAACAACAGGATGTCCAAGGTGAATGGTTCATTTTCTGGATTGGACCTCCTCAAAAGACTTCCTTGTACAGTGCTGCCCTCAGAGGCCATATTGCTACCCACTGCCCTAGGCCATGTTGAAGCTTCAGGTTAATGTGGATTGGATGTCCATGGCTTGTTTTACCACTGAAGGCCATGTGGATATCTCTGGTCTCTGCTACCCCCTGAAGCCAAGTTGATGTCCATGGGCCATGCCGTCACTGGATGCTATGTTGATGTGAGTGGTCTGTGTTGCTACCTGAGGCCATGTTGATGTCCTTGGTTTGTGCTGCTGCCAAGGGCCATGATTGTGTTTGCTGTCAGTGGTGCCGCAGAAAGCTATGTTGATGCTTGTGGTCTACTGCTGCCAGAGACCATGCTGAGGTCCATGGCATGTGCTAAATTCAGAAACCAAGTAGGTGTCTGTAGTCCATGTTCCCGCTGACTATAAAGAGCAAGGAAGCTACTTTTGTAGTTGTATTGATGCCTGCAGACTCACAGTTGAGAAGGAGGGACATAGAAGGCTTCTGTGATAACCCCTAACCATTCCCACCCACCCAGCAAAAACAAAACAAACAAAACAGCCTGGAAAGAAAGCTATCAAAGAGAACTTTTAAAAATTGTGATAAGAATCCTGAAGTATAGCTCTCCATAATTGATGGCTTCTGGAGGGCATATGGGTGGGAAAGGACTCAGTTTTCTTTAAGAGGTTGGACGCTGGCCACTCATGTTTCAGTGAGTATGTTGGCAACACAAATTGGTCTTGAGCTTGCTTCTTTTCTTCTTTTGTGAGGAAGGTCATGAGGGGGAACAGACTTAGGAGGAAGTGTGGGAAGTGTTATTGGGGTTCATAATGTGAAATTCCCAAATAATCAATAAAAAATTAACAGGTTCTACTAAATGAGACTTGGAATTTTGAATACACAGGTTACATGAGATGACAAGATACAACTTGATGGACTGGCCCTATACCGTGTATACAGTATAGGCCCTATACCCTATACTGTGTAGATGCTCATGGCAGTCACAGTCTCAGGGTATGACCTGTAGAGCTTGAATGCTACTTACCAGAACTCCTTGAGGGAACCTGGCTTCAGTAAAGTCTGTCCTAGATACCAGTAAAGGCTTTAGTCCCTCAGAACTTCCATGCTCTTGCCACCAGCTGAGCACCCTGATGTCTCTTGACTTCCAATCTTCACGTCTCTTCTCTCACAGACCTGTGAATAATAAAATGTTTCTGTTTCATGTGCTTTGTTCTGCTCCTCTGGGCCACAGTTAAACCTAATTCCTCCTAATCAGAACGTGGCTCTCTTGGTAAGAAAGTGTCTGCCCACATGCACAAGCTTCCTGTTGTAGGGACATCTGGACATTGATCTTCATCTTTCAGTTGCCATGACAAAACACCTTAGATAACTTTAAAAAGAAGATTGATTCTGGATGTTTCAGTTTGTGGTCCATTGTTCTGTTGCTTTTTTTTGGTATGTTATGATGAGAGTATGTGATGAAAGAGGAAACAGACTCCTTTTCATGATCATGCCCCAAAGATTTCACTTTTTTTCTATCAGGCCGTACTTCATCAAGATGCCACCATCTCCCCGTAGTGCCGTCAGCTGAGGACCAAGCCTTCAACACAGGGTCCTTTGGGGGCCATTCCAGATCCAGACTGCAGCAGACAGGGACCAAGCGCTCCTCCAGGAGAAGTTTCCGGTGAAAGGTACACCATAAAGTTCCACTATTTTCTCCCTGGGCCCCTTTGGGCCAAGGCTGAAGTTTATAGGCTTTCCAGGGAGTCTTAAAGAGTGGATTAACAGAAAGTGACAGTGGGATGATAGAGCAAAGAAAGCAAGCCCTTATTAGTAGTGACGGTTAGAAGTAAAGGTGGATTATAGGGACTAAGTGGGCGAGAACTGCTTTGTTTCCTATTACTAGTGTATTGGGACAAGGAAACCACAAGAGTTGGCCATCTGGATAGAAAACATACATTTATTGATTTATTTATGTTTGTTTGTTTGTTTGTTCTCTAGAGACAGGGTTTCTATGTGTAGCTTTGTCTGTCCTGAAACTCGATCTACATGCAGGCCAGATCCACCTGCCTCTGCCTCCCAAGTGCTGGGATTAAAGGCATGCACTACCATGCCCAGATTAGAAAAACATTTTTGAAAAAACATAATACATGAACTTTTTCCTAGTGGGAACGGCAGACAAAGCAGTGGAAGTCTTTTTACACCCCCACTTCACACTTATCTGTGGAAATGGCATTGCTTTAGAAGTTTATTATTTTCTTTCAGAATCTCAAAACACTCACTCCTATAG